CACAATTCCTCCATTGCCGAAAAGGACACTGTCCTACCCAAAACCACAGATGAGACTGGACCTGCAAAGTCCCCTCACTCACTAGGATCAGCCCCCCCTGGTAAATCTTCTATTGAATCCACCCAAGGCTTCACCAGATTAATCCTTACCAACACAGGATCCCTCACCACTAAGCAACTGCATCTTGCCCTGCGGAATGCCCTTAGACTTCACCCAGAAACCTACAACGGGATACAAAGGGTTCACAAAGTACACCAACCCAACAGGCGCACCAGATTTGATCTTTGGATAAAACCCCAAAATGCAGCAGGCCTCCAAAAACAGCTCAAACTAGACTAAGGACGCCAGCGCCTGCGCAAGGAAATTTCTGGGGCAGAGCTCTCTTATATCAAACTGATTGAAACACATATACTTTCCCGATATAGGCTCACCAAATGGAAAGCCTGGAGGGATAGAGTAATAAAACCACCTCGGTATCCCTCAGCAAACTCCACCAAGTCCCTAAACCAGCTTATGACCTGGAATAATAATGGGATCGACTCTAAATTCCCAGTCCTTAAGGAAATCCTGTCTAAGGACAAAGTGGCTATAGCAGCTATACAAGAACACCTGCGCCCCATCACACACCATATCCCAGGAATAAGGGGCTATAACCTGTACGAAAGATGCAAGGAGAGGGGGTTCTGGGGACACTGTTTATATGTCCACCAGTCCCTTACCAGTCACGAGATTCAAAACCCGTGCATAAATATCATTCATGTCAAAGTGTTTGGGCTATCAGATGATAAACCATGGCACTTCTTGGCAATTTAAATGCCCTCTGGCACATCCAGAGACAAGGACAGGCATTCTTTCTGGGATGCTATTGGAACTACCATCAAGGATATCAAAGATGGATCTGATCACCATATTAGGGGATCTAAATGAAGACCCCCCTCAAATAAGGCGTCAAGTGAAACACCCCTCTCTGGTCAAGGCTAATTTCTCCCTACTCCTTGACGAGACAGCAATGGCAACTAGAAACGCAAATCAGGGGCTAGATACATTGGCCACTTCCTCCAATCGCCCTACACGTCTCACAGGGTGGAAAAGGTTAAAGTCAGGAATGACATGATTGAGGTTGGTGACCACTGGCCAATTCTCCTCCCACTCACACAAGAGACCAACCTGCCCCCTACCTCTAAAAATACCTGGGACAGGCGTGCATTGGCTGGGCATGGCATAGAACTGGCACTTTCCCATAGGTGGGATGCCCTTCAGACAGATAACATTTCTTCTCAAGAAGAACTGGATGATGCGGCTGAGCAGTGGGTCTCCATGCTAAACGCCATTGGGGAAGAGCTGGGTATCTTGCGTGTCCCACCTGAGCGTCAGCAAATTAACTTTGACAAAAAGACTAAACTAGCAATCCAAACAGCTAGAAGGGCCCGCATGACGTTAAACAAACTGCCACCTGACTCCCCTCCTGCCACTAGGAATAGGTGGAAAGCTTAAGAAGAGCTAAATTAGCTATAAAGAAATTTGCCAAACGTGTAAGAACAAAACGAAGTCACCAGCTTAACTCTGATCTTCTTCACAACAAAGCTGAAGATTTCCATAGCACATTACAAGCCATGCAAGGGAAAAGAAGATCAACCACAGAAGCCATGCCCTGTTTCAATGAACAAAGCAGTCTTGGAGACAGGCATACAAGGGATACTCAGGGCGCGCCAAAAGTACTCTGCCAAATTGGCTGATGACCCTACATGTATCTCTCAGAACAGACGCTTATGGGAACACAAAAGGCCCCGTCCACCTGCAGACCCTATACCTCCTATCCACATAACCAGAAAGGGAACAGGAACAGAATTGGAGGACCCAACAAAACCACTAGGTGTACCGGCCATGATTATGGCTATAAGATCTATGAAGAAAAATGCGGCGCCAGGAAGAAATGGTGTACTCACTGCACACCTTAAAAAATTTCTGGAAATAGAATGTCAGCAACAGGTAGCCCTTGAATGGGATAATGCCCCCCAACATCACTTTGGTACTAACTCCTACCCTCAATCACTTGATTACTCCCCTACAGCGGATAGGTGGTCCCTACCCTCATACCTCCTCATACCACCGCTTCAGCACCTCCACTGTATCCTCAACAGCTGTTTTGTGCTAAAGACACAACCCGAAATGTGGAACGAGGAGGTTCTCATTACACTCCCTAAACCCGGACAGGACCCCCAAATCCTGGCCAATACAAGGGGAATCACTCTTTCCTGTACGGAGGGAAAACTCCTACTCACCATAGTAGCTCAAGAAATCTCCCAACGTCTGGAAAGGCGGAAATTCTTTACCTCAGCACAAGCCGGCTTTACACTTGGCCAAGAAACTACAAGTCATGTGATAGCCCTCAGCGAGATCATTCAGCGCAGAAGGAATGACATGCAGGCTACGTATGCCCTGTTTATAGACTTCAAAAAGGCTTTTGACAGAGTCCCACATGAAGGACTCTGGGTGAAAT